TCCGTACCCACTATATATATATATATATATATATATATATATATATATTAATAAACAAATGGTTTCAAAAAGACCAATGTGTTGCTCAACAAGTTTAGCCTCCATCACTTAATTCCACACCACACGCCATAGTTTCATTTCTGTTTTTGTGCAGGTGCAGTGAGGGCAAATCGGTGAGGGCAATCGGTTTGTAGATCTGATTCAACTGTGCAAAATCCCAACGAGGGCCGACCAAAATTTCTGACATGTCAGAAATTCATCTGACCATCCAGTCTGGAGAGGTTAATCGCCTCTGTTCCCCCTGTACACTGCACGACAAACAACGCACGACAAAGCTGAAATTCAGCCCGACTCAAAAAAGAGTTGCACGAGTCAGAATTCGCCTCAAAATCGGTCGAAAATCGCACAGTGTATGCCCGGCCTTACCCGAATGAAGAACGTTGATGGTAGGCTTGCTGTGATAGTCGGTGTTACCGGTGTTAAGTCGCAACACCGTTTATGTCACTTGCCCACCGCGGCACCATCAGTTTTTATATTTTATAGTAATAAAAACATTTAGTTAATTTAGAGAACAGACACTACAATTAAAAACTGAACGCGGCTGCTCAATGAAGCGTGCCGAGCGACATTCGTATCACAGATCAGCAGCTTGAGACAGATTTCATTTATCAAGTGAGGAGAGTGAGTCGAGCTGACCGACAAGAAGAGTGAGGTGAGACAGACAAGACCACAAAATAAACTCCAACAAACACAAGTAACATCCAGCCGGTTGTTATCACAGAATAACCTCTGCTTCACATCGGGGTCCTGATCACCCTGTCGGGGGTTATTCTGCGATAATAACCGGCTAGATGTACATTATCCCTTACTTAACTGTCAACTTGTTTATTGAACTGTTGTATAATATCAAAATACAAGAATTATCACACTCACAGTCTGGTCTGAATATCAGCATTACCTACGACTGATTGACAGCTGATATTTGGTATGACAGCTCTTGCTTGTGTGGTATTGCTTCAGTTTAACACAAATGGAACGATGCACTGATCAATCCAGGACCAAAACTTTTTATAGGTTTTATAAGATACTTTTGCAGGTCATGTCAAACATTCAACCTTTTATTAACAACCTCTTTGTGTGTTCTCATTTAATTGCATGGAAATCATTTGAAAATCGTTTTTGTGGCATGTACTGTACATGTGCCTGTACATGTTTAAAAAAATAAAATAAAATAATGTGATTTTGGGAATATTACATGTAAATGTCCTTGTTTTCAGGAAGGGATATCAAATTGCACATAATCACGATTGCACATAATTTCCATCACGCCATGTGAAACGCCAGTCCATGTGTGAAATCCGTGAGCGAGCATGGCAAAGACCCACAATTTCCAGGTAAGGTGTACTTTGTCCACAGTAATTTAAACTCTCAATGGAAAAATGTTTGAAAGTCTCAGTGGAAGTAAGTATGAGTAGGTATCTTATTAAATGTCATCTTACCAAAGGAGGCTGTTGCCATAGAGATTACTATTACCATACTATTACTATTACCAGACACCCTTTAAAATATGCAGCTACTCAGTGTAAAGAGTGACTCTATATGAACTCGTAGGATCCAGCATTTAAAATAGAAGTTCATGTCACATAACCACTAAAAATGATTGCAAATGTGTGTAAAGTGCTTGTCAATCTAAATCTACTGTCACATTCTTTTTTTAGGGAAAGCATTAAATGTTCCAGTGTTAAACAAATACACAATGTGTGACTCAAAAGCCATAAAAACAGCATCGAAAGTGATCAGTCTTTTAAAACTGTGTATTGCAGCAAATATAACAGAGGAATCTCATGAAGAAGTGTCTGCGTCATATTTATGGCAGCCTGTTTCTGCAACAAGATAAAAATAATGGTGATTGCTTCCTTTTATCTCACAATTCTGACTTTTTTAAGTAAACTCAGAACTGCGTAATATAAACGTGCAATTCTAAGAAGAATAGTCTGAATTGTAAATAAAAAATAATAATAATAAAAACTCGAGAAATTGCGAGAAAAAGGATAAAAATTACCCTATTTAATTAAAAAAAATTTTTTTAATTCTGTAGGCAGAATTGGGCTTCCATACATGTTACACCGCAAAAGCAGAGGCTATATATATATATATATATATTGCATAAAGAATATGAAGTCTATTTTTAGGACCATTGTTTTTATTTATTTATTTACTTATTTATTTTTGTTAATTTATTAATTTATTGGCATGTTCTTGACAGGCATCAGGAGATTCACCCAGAAACACTTTTTTCCATATGTAACTGGTCAGTGCATTCAATGAGGATGAATCCTTCATTTAAAACTTTAAAAGTCAATTAAACGTACAGCCTAATCTACGTGGATATGAAAAGCCTTTTAGATGAATGCTGACAGTGCCTTTAAACTCAGAGTAATGGCATCATTAGCAGTGGAGAGAGTTCAGAGGTCAAAGAACATCGGCGGCACATGCTTGACCCACTTTAACAGCTCAGGGTTTATTCTCACACATCTGAATGCGCTGGAAATCACATGCATATTCATCTTGTTCACTGTCTTGTCCATTCTTCTAATGACCGTTCACAATGTGAGCATATGAATTGGTGTCGACCCCCATTTACAGCCCTTTCTTAATGTATATTCCTGGTCTTAATGTGAATGTTATTCCTTTGGATAATATTTGAAACACACATTAAGATATTTTCATGAAACCTGAAAAGGTATCTGTCACTGCATAGAAATCCATGCAACCAAAACTTAAAAGATTCAAAAAGGTCATCATAAAACAAATCCATATGAATTGAGTGGTTTAGTCCAAGTCTTGTGAAGAGACACAATCACTTTATTTGATGAACAGTTTCATTAAAAATCTTAATTTGTGTTTCAAAGATTAACGGAAGTCTCAAGTAAACATGAGAGTATAAACAAGATTAGTACACAATTTATACAAGTAGGAGTTATAAAAAAATCATGTTACAGTATGACTGTGGATTAGTTCAGCTCTTGTGGAAGAGGTGCATCTTCAGATGTTTTTTAAAGGTCTCAGCACATCCATCTGCACATGTTTACATCGGAAAACACACAAAACACTTTCAGTGTAAACAGCCCCTGATTCACATGACACAACACTTGAAGTTTCTCAAAGTTACCATTTTAAAAGAGTAGCCTCAGTGAATCGGCCAAACAGGTTTGAAAAGCAATCTGGATGTATTCAGACCGCTTTCTCATTGAATCCTTTGGAGTGGTTTCTCGGTCAGTGCAACAGTATCATGATATAAGAAAACAGAGAGCAAACGAGCGCTGGATGAAGTGGATATTTACTTAGAGGAAACTTTGAGAAGCTTCAAGTAGTGCCGTGTCATGTGATTGAAGGACTGTTCAAGTGTTTTTGTGTCCACCCATGCTGTTTTTCATCAAAACTTAATTAGATTTATGCTTCAATGGGGTGAGAAAAAATAAAACTTAATTTACTGGAACCACTACAAAAACACTGATTAGAAAATGATTTTTTTTTTTTTTTTTTTTTTAAACACTGCATACTACGTTCATAGTGGCTTATTTGTCAGTACGAACAAAAACATTTTCACAAGTTGTGTGCCAAAAATAATATGCAGAATCTTTCCGCTCACTATGTTTATATTGTTACTGATATGTACTTATTATATTATTACTAATATGATGTGATATGATATCGGTAATAAACACTGTCTGAAATTAAATGAAGGTGATTCTCAGACAGTTCGGTTATGTACACTCCTTTGATTTAATTTTTCATACTCCCATTATGCATGCGTTTAAAGTCCCCGGCTGCGTCTCTCCCCCTGCAGACACTGAAGTTAAATCAAGGGCAAATGAAAGGCTAAATGAGCCTGTAACATAATGATGATAAATGATGTCTGAATTGTGGTCATGTGACGGCATCATTACTGCACATTATACATCAGCACAGTGTGCTGGCACAAATTAATACTAACACGCGCACACACACACACACACACACACACACATGTCTGGTCAGCTATCCTTGTGGGGACTCTCCATAGGCGTAATGGTTTTTATACTGTACAGACCGTATATTCTATTGCCCTACACCAACCCTACCCCTAAACCTACCCCTCACAGGAAACTTTGTGCATTTTTAGATTTTCAAAAAACTTCATTCTGTGTGATTTATTAGCTTGTTTACCCGTGGGGACCTCAATTTAGGTCCCCACCGTGACACGAGTCCCCACGAGTCTGTGTGTATTCAGGTTTAAGTCCCCACCAGAATAGAAAAACAGGTACACACACACACACACACACTCACTTTCTTGCGCAGGTAAGCAGACGGGGCGCTCCAGTAGTACGGTGCCGTCAGGTGAGTCTGCGCGTCTGATTGGCTCACGATGAGCTGGTGGGCCGTCTCTCTGCTGGTCACCGCCCACACAAGCCCCTCCCCATCCGCTCCTGTCAGATACCATCCAGACATATCCATCACCTGCAAACAAACACACCAAAACATTCAGATCTCTGAGACCGTGCTGTAGGGTAGGGCAGGCAATAGTGCTACTGGTATGTATGCTCATCATATGCAAATGACAAAATATATGTTTAAGTAACATTTAAGTGCGTATTATCATTTCAGCAGAAGGTCCAGCAGCTCTCTTTTGGCATTTCATAACCTCATAATCAGCCAATCTCCTTTGTGATTGGAGCAGTCAAATGGAGAACAAACTCATTCCTCACAATTTATTGCAGTTCTGCCTAGCAGCGTTTAACTGTTCTCTTTATATGATAATCTGTATTTTTGCCTGTATCCTTTCTCTTATGTGCATCATTCTAAATATTATTGCATGATTGATTAAATGACCTCAAAACTGAAGTTTTGTCACCGTTTTGTGAGAGAAGAAACGGTTCATTATATGGTCTATTAAAGAGTCCATTGTGTACAACAACAATGTCAATAGTTATTTCATAATAATTAAATAATCTATAGTTGGTGTCAGCATGTATTGATCTAATATCAGGAATATTGAAGTGGTATATTGTATTGATTCATATATTGATTTGACTTGTAAAGCACACAATGTATATGTTTAGGTAAATGAAGGCTCTTCTGTTCTATTACACTATTGATGGAAATGCTGTGTGTGTGTGTGTGTGTGTGTGTGTGTGTGTATAGTCATAATGTCAGTGACATGTTGTAGCTAAAAAAAAAAAAAAAACAATTAAAAAAATTCAGTTTAATTGTCATGAAAATACAAATGAACATACCAAAACTGTTCCAGACTGAAAATTATTTTAAAATGCTGGTAATAAAATTATTATTTTGTGATGATCACTTTTCATTACACCAAATAATTTTCACAGTAAACTTTCAGAAATCCATCTGTTAATGAGAAGAGTTCAGTGCTAAACAATCGTTCCAGATTTGGTAGTGAGAAGGTTATGCTGTGGTAATGTGTTCAAACATCTGTCGTCCTTATTCCTGCTAATTTTCTTGATAATTTTGTCAGATTTGATCTGTCTATGATCTAGTCTGTGATTGAAGAGGCTAGTCTGCAGTTTTCTTAGAGGAACATGCAATCAGCAGACATTCAGATTATGTATGGATGAGAGGTTCTCCTCTTGTAAAATGACATGCATTTATGTAATGTTCTTATGAAACAGGGAGACTGAAGCCTTTATACTTCTTTTTTGGGAAGTGTTTTATCTCTATTTTTGTTTATTTATACTGTTTTCAGGTTGGCCTGACAGATGACAGAGTCTATTTTTATTTTTGACTATTTAAATGTACGGTAAGACTAAAAAAATTTACAAATGAAAGCTCTGCATCTGTTTCTGAATACATTTAGCAGTTATTGATTTCACATCACTGTCATTCTATTTCAAAGTTTATTAGCACAGTGTACTTTCATTTTAAAGAGAATGCTATTAAAGGGATAGTTCACCCAAAAATTGCAATTCTGTCATCATTTACTCAGCCTACACTTGTTTTAAAACTGTATTGTATGAGATTCTTTCTTCTGTTGAACACAAAGGAAGATATTCCGAAGAATGTTTGTAACCAAATATTTGACATTAGCCTTTGACTTCCATAGTATTTTTTCCATACTGTGGAAGTCAATGGCTACCTTCAACTGTGAACTATCCCTTTAACTGTTGTTGTTGTTGTTGTTGTATATGGTTGATGACACATTTAAAATAATCACACTTTTAAAATGATACACTGCGAAGCACTGTTCTGTGCATTAACTTCATTTGTGTTAGATTTGCACTTAGAAAAAGAGAAAAAGATTGTCAGTGTGGTAATTAAAATAAACATTTTCTCTAAAAACAAGTATTTTTATCTTAAAAATGTAAATATCATTTGAGCGTGGAATGGAGTGAGCTATGTTTTAGACTTATTTTAAAAGAAATGACAATGACATTACATTCCTTTTCAGCTATTAAATTGATACATTTATGTGCTGAATTATATTCATATTATTGTTTTTAACATCGTAATTAAAGCTAGCAGAGCTCTGAAAAGACAACTCAAGGTCAGCTTAATTGTACAGACAGATGCTGGTAGCATCTCTCTCACACACACACATGCACACACAAATTGATGCAAAAATGCCAGGGCCCCCTACACTATTAACCTTTCACCCTTCCTAACATCTGTCCCCTTTGTCTGTGTGTAAAGACTGCACTCATGACAGTTCGCTTCTAAACGTGATGACCAGCAACTTTTGTTCACTCATTAAACTGGAAAATATCCATGTGAATCATCTGTGTGTGCATGTGTGTGTTTAAGAACAGCCATTACTGCTTAATAAGACTGAGTCCCACTAGCCAAGCAGAGATTTGAGATAGTGTAACTAATGAGAAATGAGACCCGTCTCTCTCTCTCTCTCTCCTGCATGTGAAACTGGGCTGCATGCACTATTAAACACTGTTAAAGCAGCACTAACCCATGGGAAGTGTAAACACACACACACACACACACACACACACATACACACACACAGGTGCACGAACCTCTACAGTGAAGGAAAAGTCATTATTCTTCCATTTAATTTATTTCAATAGCTGTAGGACCTCTTCACATCTGTGTGTGTGTAACAGGGATTGTGCATTGTTCAAAATTACTGCCGAAGAACTGCTGTAACTTGAAATAAGTTTATGGCTTGCCAAAATAGGGCCTATGCGTCAGTAAAATGTTTTTGAAAGAAGTCTCTTCTGCTCACCAAGGCAGCATTTATTTGGTCAAAAATACAGTAAAAATGTGAAATATTATTACAATTATATATAATATATAATATAACAAAATAACTATTTGAATATATTTTAAACTGTAATGTATTCCTGTGATCAAAACTGAATTTCCAGCATCATTGCTCCAGTCTTCAGTGTCACATGATCTTCAGAAATCATTCTAATATGCTGGTTTGCTGCTCAAGAAACATTTCTGATTATTATCAATGTTGAAAACAGTTGCGCTGCCCAATGTTCTTGTGGAAACTGTGATACATTTTATTTTTCAGGATTCACAGATGAATAGAAAGTTCAAAAGAACAGCATTTATTTGAAATATACATCTTTTGTATCATTATAAATGTCTTTACTGTCACTTTTGATCAATTTAATGTGTCCTTGCTGAATAAACATTTAAATTTCTTTAAAAAAAAACATCTGATCTTAATGAAAAAAAGCCTTTTTAAATCTTACCTGTTTATTATCTTGAATCCATAAGAGTGTACAAAACAATCATTCTGGCAACAAGACGAACACTTTAGCAATATTAATGCAGGCCTATTAATAATGAAGCCCTCGTGTTTCATTTTTCAGTAAATACAGTCAATAACTGAGGCAAAAAATAATATCAGTTGCATTTGAATGAAACGAGCAAGAGCACGGCACTGTGACATGAGAGCTGTGAAAGAAGCGGTCTCACATACCTGGATTAGCAGTATGATATTCGGCATTGCTAAGGACGATGGTTGTTATCGGGAAATAACACAGATGGGAATGTCGCGACTGACCAATCAGAATCAAGTATTCCAGATAGCCGTGTAATAAATCAGAACAAATAGACACACTTACACTTAATTGTGTAATTATGTTTATTTGTTCCAATATGAAAAATATGTCATGAAATGTATCAGAAAATTGTGATGAACTAGTCAAAGTGATCTGCGTAGAATTGTTGACTTGTAACTCTTGAGTTATTTTAAATTGAATTCAAACTCCTGTGTGTCCTGACCAGCTCAATTCAGATTCACACTTATGATATTCAAGGGAGTCAGTTCTTAAATTCTGATTGTCATTCAACCCTGTTGTGTGAATCCAGTATTAACTTTTCATACAGAGTGAGGAACTCTCTCAGATGAACTTTTCCGTTCCAGTCACCAGACTGTGTTCTGACACTTTAATTTATTTCTGTATATTACAGCTATTGGCAAGTCTAGCATCAGACTGCAGCACCTGGAGCGAGTCCATCCCGTCTGTGGGTGTCATTTACTGATGTTTCTTAATGCTCCATTTACACTGGCGCTCTGCCTGAGCCAAGCCATTACTGAACAGAGCTGAGCATTTGCCTCTATAATCTGACCATCCCAGCCTCTTCATCTGGGCAACGCCAAACACGCTTCACCTCCGCTCACTCTTCATCTGTTCATCCATCCATCCAGAGAAATCCTGTGAAACCCTTCTTGATCATCTGTAGTCCTGCATTAAAGCTGCATTAAAGCAATTTTTTTCTATTTATATTCTGTTTGTTTTCATGCATTGAAAGACTTGAATCATTATTAGGATGGGAAAACAGATCCAGACTGAAACGATTTGACAGCCGAGGACAAAAAGGCGCAAGTTAGTTGTCAGCCATCTACACATGATTGGCAGTTAATTCCTCCTGTGTTTTCAGAGCAACTAAGGCAGACTCCGCCCCCCACATATTCACCATGAATATTTAAACTCAGCTTAGCATCGGCCACAGTTTGGTTGTAATAGCATTCCTCTGATTTTCCGTGACAGTTACACTCTGGCAAATAAAGACATCACACAATTATACAACTATAAGAGAAGCAGTGCAGCTTTGCAAGCAGCACCTGACACATGACACTTAAAATATAGCAATACCACATGGGGAACAGTTGATCTGAATACTGGCAGAGCTATGATTCAGCCACAGGTAAATGACAGGTGTGCTGATACTCCGACCAGCAGCACCATGAATTCAGGATCTTCCATTGCTAGTCCAAAAGAGATGTCTAAATCTCTGTTACTAATTCGAGAATGTCCCGTTAAAGCTAGCAACTGCAGCTTGGGCCACTTCTGAGAATGGAGTAACAAGAAGGCATAGCAAAAAGTAAAAATGGAGTAGCATGAAGGTGGCCAGATTGAGTGATATTGCTTTAATACAGTAGTTAAATAATCAAGTTAATATTACGTAACTTAAATTTTAGACTCAATATTGCCGGTTACTTTGTGTGCTTTTGCTTCACCAACAAAAATGGTTACACATTAAGACACAGCAACACTGAGCAACAAACAGTAGGGGCATTTTGTTCCTGAACGATTCTGTGTTTTTGATTCATTTGGACTCATTTAACAAACGATTCAGTGACTCTGACTCACTCATGAAGACAGTCATCTGGTTAATTCCTGAAAAAAGTAATGTTTTTTAACAAATCGGTTGAGTGAATAATTCAATGACTTGTTTATAAAGACACTCAGTGTGTCTGAAATCGCATATTGTCTGAATAGGTACTACATTTGATGAAGAATTTACACAGACAAGTGAAGTGATTCAAACAGTGGAGAGTCGGTAGGGGCTGTTCCTGAACGATTCTGTGTTTTTGATTCATTTGAACTCATTTAACAAACGATTCAGTGACTCACTCATGAAGACAGTCATCTGGTTAATTCCTGAAAAAAGTAATGTTTTTTAACAAATCGGTTGAGTGAATAATTCAATGACTTGTTTATAAAGACACTCAGTGTGTCTGAAATCGCATATTGTCTGAATAGGTACTACATTTGATGAAGAATTTACACAGACAAGTGAAGTGATTCAAACAGTGGAGAGTCCAGGTTACGTCAACTAATCTTGAAATGCTAATCAACCAGTCAGATTGAAGGACCCAAACTAACTGTTGCATAATTCATATTAAGATGTATTAACTTTTACATAGTGTGACTATGATATGAATATAGTCACTCAGATGTCATATAACATGAACTGATGTTCCTAATGTTTATAGACCACACCTAAAATAAGACAAAAATGGTCAATAAAGCAGCATGCTCAGCTCTGTGGGAAACTGTTGAGGCCTCTTACTTTCACAGACGTGGCGTGTGAGGAAGGTTCCCGCCATCCAGGGTTTCTGGTTGTAACCAGGGCAACAGCGGTCACAGCTCTCACCACAAGTGTTGTGTTCACACTCACAGCTGAATTTCTGATGTCGAAACCAAACAGTCAATCAAACCAACTGTGTGTCATTCAGAAATGATTAGAGAATGCCTTCCCAATTAAAACTCAATCTGAGATGGCAAACACAATGCAGAACTGA